AAAGTTCTAAACTGCTTGTGCCAGGCCAGAGAGCTGAGGAACAGAGGGAGTGTGGCTGTTCACCAGGTCAGAACATCATGTGTGTGGGAGGCTACACATCACTCCACAAAGCCTGAGGGCACTGTGAAGCACTCTGCCAGTTCTGACCACCCAGAAGTCAGCTGAGGCACAGACTTAAGCTGGTGGACTATGAATTGCAAAGTGTGAGAGGAGGTTCAGATGCTTTAAGATTCAGCTCCCAAGGCAACCCCAATCAGAGAAGAAGGAATCAGAAAGTGAATAATAAGGAAAAAAAGGTGGGGCGGGGGGAATGAAAGTACCAAAGGAAGGCAAAAACTCAAAGACCTAGAACATAAGCAGATAAATCAACAGGAAAAACAACAGTAGAAGGAAATATGGTCTCCAAATCTAGCAAACAAATTCAGGCATCTATGAATAAATACTGTTCAAAAAAAAAAAAAGGAAAATCATATAATACTTGATGAGGCAGGGAACCCTGTGGAATTTAAGGAGAACATGGAACCACACCAAACTATTCCTGGGTGATGGAAAAGAAAATTATGAGAATAGAATTTTATTTCTATACAGCAAAAATAATGAACAGGATAGAAAAACTTGAATCTTCAATGACAAGGTTCACCAAAGAAACAAAAGAGAGAACAATAGATTGGGGATGCAAATATACAAAAATGAAGGACAACCTAGAAGATGAGAAGCAAAAAACAGTGACATTAAAAGAAAATATGCTCATTACGTAAACAAAATATACTGAACTCAAAGACAGGCTGCATAGTGACAACCTAAGGATCATATGTATCCCAGAATAACACAAAAAGACAAAAAACCTTAACACCATAAGGAAGGAAATAATAGAAGAGAACTGGCCATAACTTCTAAACATAGAAAATGAAATTCCAATTAAAAGAATTCACAGATCACCTCCGGAAAAAAAAAAAAAAACTGAAGGCTACAAATTCCAAGACACAGTTAAACAGAAACAAGGTCTGCCAGCCATTAGGAAAAAGCCCTTCAAATACAAAGGAAAGAGCATTCAAATAATGCAAGACTATTCTGTACCCACTAGAAAATGCAAGAAGGGATGGAACATTTCCAAAGAGCAATGCAGTCAAGGATGTAGCTCAAGGTGACCTATCCTGTAATTCTGAGTTTAACTATACAGGACAAAAGATGGATGTTCAATAATAAAGAAGAGTTTGAAATACGTTTAGAAAGAAAACCAGAACTGAAGAGGTTATTGGCCTCTTTAACATACCAAAAAAAGAAAAAATGCAGGGGGAATGAATGCAGCACAGAGAGAGTGATTGTGAGAGAAATGATTGTTACATAATCAATTATTGGGGAGATCCAGGCTTTTCCCTTCCTATATCCTCATTCTCTACTAGGCAAAGCCAGCATCTGAAGGGCATTGCTAATAATGAGACTGGATTAACTTTCTTCTCAATCTTGTTCACCCAAGTGAAGAAACTCATTGTGTTCTACTCAGGTTTGAGTGGGGATTGATCCTTTATCTAGATTGCCAAGGCCTGGGGTGATTGGGAAGTAAATGACATAATCAAAATCATATCCTCCAGTCTCTCATTAGAATAGGTCCACCTCTCATTACAACATCCATTCTTTCCTTAATTGTTAACTAACCAGAGCTGATTGTCACTCTCAGGAACACCCACGCTTCCAAGGGCATATAAGTGTTGAGTGGGGGAGCCATCTCCAATTGTCCTGATCTATATCTATATCTTGCCACTGGACTCTAATGTCTCCAGAGGAGAAAGTGAGACTAGTGAGAATGAATGACAAACTACTACCAGATTTATACTTTCAACCATGTTTCCTGTTATACTCTCCTGAGAGCATGAGGGAGAGGGATATAAGGAGAAATCTAAAAGAAAAGATACCAATTAAAACTAAATTTTTTAAAAAGCGTATTTTCTAGGAATAAGGAAACTATAGTCCTAACATGTTCTGCCCTGGTCAGATCACATCTACAGTGCTATGATCAGTTTTAGACAGCATATTTTAGGAAGAATATGAGTGAGAAAGTGTGTTGAGAGTACGCAGGATGAATGACTTCAAGTTCACACTATATGTGGATCTGTTTAAAGAATTGATGTTTTTAGCCTGTAGAAAAGAAACTTAAAGCGTACAGAATAGCTGTTTTCAAGTACCTGAAGGATTGTCAAATAGAAGCAACATTACACTTTGTTTGCCTGGCACTAGAAGGTGCAAGGATGAGCATTAAAAAGAATATATATTTGAAAATGAATTAGAGCGAATCAAAAGCGGAAAGGGCTGCCTTACAATGTAGTGGTTTCTCTCTTCACTGGAGGTCTTCAAATAAAGGTTATCAGGAGTTCTTAACTTTCTGTGTTGTGGATTCCTTTGGCAATCTGGTGAAGAAGCCTACCAACCCTTTCTCAAAATTTTTTTACATGTATAAAACACATAGGATTACAAAGGAAACCAATTATAATGAAATACATTTATCAAAATATTAAGAAAACAAGTTCACAGACCTCAGAAGTTAAGAACCCTTACTTCAGACAAATATTTGTTGCTTAGATTGTAAACAAGTTTCTTTTTCAGACATGAGTTATAAAGGTGACTTCTGATGCCCCCATTCAACTCTGAAATTGTGTTACAATTCCTTTCCTTCCTAAACTGAATGTTAACAGAAAATGAATATTATTCTATTCATTAGAACACACCGTGATTTCTTTGCCTATGTTCTCTGCCTATAAGGCCTAGATATTAAAAGCATGGTCTCCTCTACCACTTTGCCCCTTGACTTAGAAGGCCCAATCGTTTCATATACATAATAGGTAGCCTCTCCTGGGTATACTTGCCTACTTACAGGTCTGCTGTAACCATTTAAAGTTTAGAGAGGTTTTAAATTATATGCTTTATGGTATAGTTTATTTCCCCCATGGAACATAAATTTATCTTAAGGATGTTGTGCTTAATAGATTTCACAAGAAATAAAAACTAATATTTATATCACTTTTAATTTCTTTTGTCCAACAAGGTAAGGTCATTTTATGAAAAGCATTTCTCCACTTATAAAACTAAACAATGCATTTTCATATGAGAGTTTTAATTAAAACTGACATTTCTAATCTTGCTGCTAATAAAATGCCATGCAGCTTACGGGCCCCAAATAAAAGAATTGTAAACTGGGTTCTATGCAACCTTAATGCCAGTTATGATATTTTTAAAAGCATTAGTGTTTAGTAGACTATTGGTTTAAGCAACACCAAAAGGCAATCAATGTGAAATATTTTTTAATCTCCAACTTGAAATATTAAGATCATAGGACTAAATATGAAAATATTTAGACTGGAGAAAACTTAAGGGACATGAAAGCAGTCTTCAAATATTTGAAGAGATGTCATGTATAAAAGGGAATGGACTCGTTCCACTTAGACCTAGAAGCCAAATTAGGATATATGAACAGAAGTTATAAAGGGGCATATTTAGATTTGGTGTAAGGAAAAATTTCCTAACTATTGTTGTTCAGTCCTGTCCAACTCTTTGCGATCCCAATTTTGGGGTGTTCTTGGCAAAGATACTTAAGTAGTTTGTCATTTCCTTCTCCAACTCATTTTACAAATGAGGAATTTGAGGCAAACAGGGTTAAGTGACTTGCCCAGGGTCAAACAGCTAGTAAGTGCCTGAGGCCAGATTTGAACTCAGATCTTCCTGATTCCAGGCCTGGCACTCTATTCATTGCACTATCTAGTGGCCCTCCTAACCTTATTAGAGCAATCCAAAAGTGGTTTAGAGGTTAGTAGATTTTTCCCTTCACTAAATCCATCAAGTTTTAGAACTCTGCCCTGGGATTGAAGTATTTGGGCATTCTAACTGATGAATGCATGCAAACTCACTCTAGTAAATAACAGAACATCCTTCACATCCCTCCTAGCTAGCCACAACCAAAAACAAAAAAAAAAACCCAGGAAATTTGAGTATCCTTCTATCTGCCCTGTTTCCACATCTTACACTGGGATCAGTAATCAGATCAATACTGCCATTGTTCCTGGAAAGAATGTAATAATTGCAGGGCAGCTAGGTGGTGCAATAGATAGAGCTCCGGCCTTGGAGTCAGGAGGACCTGAGTTAAAATCTAGCCTCACCAAAAAAAAAAAAAAGAATGAAAGAAAAAAGTAATAATTGACTGCCTTATGCCTCCACTCATAATTCCTGTAATTTCTCAGACCTAAACTCCTTTCACTAGCCCCACTTTTTTGTGTGCTATCTTCCCTTGTTAAAATGTAAAATCATTAAGGACAGGGACTTTTTTTTTTAAACTGGTATTCCCAGCACAATGCCCGTCATACAGTAGACAACAAATGTTTTCTATTTATTCATTCATTCGTCACATATGCCAGTTATAGAGAGGATTTTTGTTCAGGTGTAGGTTGAATGAGGCCTCTGAGGTTTCTTTCAATTTATATTCCTTGAAAGGAAAAATCTCTGTATCTAAGATAACAATGCTATTTAAAAAAACGAAAATACAAAAGTAAATAATTTTATATATCATTTATTTTAAAGAAAAGTGATAAGGACTTCCAGAAAAAAATTTCTCATAAAAACAAGGACTTCTTCAGGTTCAGTCAGGTTACAGTTAAAAAACTGATATATGAACGAAAGGAGAAATGTATAACCTGGAAAGATGGTAGAATTTACCATCATTTCTTCACATTTTGGCTTTCAAAAATGTGTCAATAATTAAAATCCAGACTTCTTGGTAAATATCAAGACACAGTCAAAACCATTTTTCTTAGCCTTTCTATTCCCAGGGCTTACCATACTGATTTGAACATAAACACTTAATAAATTGCTTAATTAAATTTAATTTTTTAATGAAATGTAAACTGTTTTTTCCTTGAGTTGAGACGTTTTCATGTTTTATTCCAAAAAAATTAAAGTTGCTCCTCAAAAGTTTTGACATAATTGCTCACAGAAACCAATCCACAAAATTCCTGTTTTACTAAAAGACTCCTGTGTTTTTTATTTCATTTTACCAGTGGAAGTACAAACTCAGAGAACATCTCCTTAAGCCCTGCAGCTTCAAATTCCTTTAGTAGCTCATCCAACGATGAATACTCTTTGACTTCAAATGCCAGGAACCTACATTATACAAGAGAAACTCATGAATATGCCTAGATTTGTCAGAATGTAATTATCGATTCAGTTGCTTTTCTATCTGCAATAGTACTAAATTATACCTTTTGTGTTCCATCTGTACTTTTGTTTCAAAGAGTATACTAATCATTTTCTCTTTGCATTTCTTTCCGCTTGAGTCCACATCAACTTTGGAGGTTTTCTGAAGAATCAGGTATTCCTAAATGATAAATCAGAACATTAAATACACATCTTACTATCTTAGAGATTTAGTTTTAAAACTCATAAACATACAGGGTTTATTTTATATATAAAAAACATCCATTTTCTAGCCCATATTTTTACATAGTTACCTCTGAGTTTGCATACAGATAACAGGAAGAGTCAGGTATTTTCAGGCCATATTCATGGTCTCAATGAATAGGTTTAGAATATATTAAAAAAAATTTTGTCCCAAACTGTGATTTTATTGGTGAAGGAACTCTTATTGAGCAAATTCCCTCTTCGAATACAGATGGCAACTGCTCAGTAACTTACAGTTGAAGAGTTGCTCTAACGCAGATCTTTCCACTCTAAGACCAGCTCTCTATCTACTAAAGCACATTACCTCTCTTCAAATGGGTATGACTTGATCCTTCAAACTAATAGAGGATCTTTTTAAAATCTGAAAATAAATATATTTTTGCAGAATTCCAGTATATAGACAGGTTAAAAAGTGAACTCTGAAAAGAGAAATTTGCCAATGTTGTGTCCATATCCACTGAAAACTGTTCCAAATCACACAGATGCTTGTTGACTAACTTATCCAAATTAATTTGTCTATCATAACTTCATTTAGTCTTTCTTTTGAGAGGCAGTGTGGTTGTGGGGAGAAGACTCATCTTGAACTTAGGAAAATCTGAGTTCAAGTATGACCTAGAAAATATTCACTATGTGACTCTGGGTAAGTCGTTTAATCTCTCTGGGTCTCCGACAGTTGTCTGAAACTACATCTACAAATGGTTTGCAATCTGTGTAAATGGAAAGATATTCCCACACAAGGATTCCTACACTGAACAAATCACAAGTCCCTGATGTCTATGGGTGGTATATGAACAAGCAAATGGATCTAGATCTCTATCTGAATATTTGCCTATAAAGATCCAATTAGCTTAAATTCAATGCAAATTACTTTGAAACACATGGAATCCTTTCACAGCCCCCAAAAAAGGACACAACTAAAATCTGATAATTTGTTTTAACTATGTAATTCAATACTAATCTGAATAAATACCAAGATGTTTTATAAGAAGATTATACTATGAAGCAGCAATACCAAAATTCTTAAGTCTTTATGATTACAGGTTATCTGAGAAGAAACAAATTAAAGGCAATTTTAAAAAATTTTTGTTACTTTGACTTACCTAGAAGAACAAAACTTATTAACTGTTAAATATTTTAATTTTAATAATAACAATCTTTCTCCCCTAGTCCCCAAGGTAAACAGGTTACAAAAATTTCAAGGGATATACAAAATGTAAAAAGGGACTGATTTTGAAAGCAGCTGCTCAGACAAGTCAGTCAGAAAGAAAAAAAAGATGGTAGGAGGTAATGAACTGACAGCAATAATAGTTCTACATCTCTGAAACTAAATCTCAGTTATAAGACACAGACCACTCTTTCCAGGCAGTATAGATGCCCCCAAAAAAAGTCATATTGATTTTTTTAATTGCAAAGAAGTGAGAAAAAAATTATTGCTTATCCCAAATATAATATACTATGCCCTCCTGTGCCTACCTATGAGGAGCTATATATAAACATACATATGCACCTTTATAATATATATATAGAAATTAATATCTTATTACTTCAAAAGATGTTATTTCATTGATGTGAGTACTACTTCTGTTAAAAGCTCTTTCACATCTCACTGTGGCCATAAAATTCATTATCTAGGCTAATGTTTTGACAATGAACCTCTCTAAATTTAGGCTGATTCTTGAATGAAAATCAAATACTGGGACAAAACTTAAAGTCTCTCCAACACTATAAGACACAGGAACAGGGTATACATATTTATCTTCATCTCATACCTTTTATCAGCCACTAACTTCAAATGGCATAACTGAATAAATAAAAACAAAAAACTCTTCAAGGCTTCACAGGTTTGTTGTGTGTAACCAGTAGACAAAGACATTCTTTCAAAGAAAATACAGGCTTACCACAACAGTAATATAGACTACAGATATATCCCTAATAATTTGCCCATCCTTACTAACTGCTATGAAACACTCTTATCCATCCATTCTTAAGTAACAAAATAACCAAACTTTCATTCAATATTCAATGGCACCTTGATACTGTTTCTGTCTCCTTGTAGAAGAACGAGTATTATTTTGCCCCAAAACATCAGTCTTCCAGTAAGTCTTAAATTGGAAGTCCACTTCTCCACAGTTTTGACATACTTAGTTTTTGCTCTCATGTGATCTATATGCAAAAGGGCTATCCATGTTCCATCATCCATCGACGTACTTGTTGACAAAGTGCAGTTTTCAGAGCTAACAGTTGTTTCTGGTTGCCCAATGACGTGTTTGAGGTTTTGTTGAATCCAGAGAACCAGTTCATGTACCATCGGCTCAGACAAAAGTTTTTTTGCTTGTTCAAGTAGCTTCTCTTTTATAACTGTACACTGTGCCCTGGTAAGGTGCTGAGAATTAACGGAGATCCTTGGTAGACAAAATGGGTAAGTAGCTGGTAAATGAAATGATAGTTTTAATGGTATATTTTCATCCAAAAATCCTTGTCCACTGGTGTTAATTCTGAATGAAGCTCCATCTGTTTCTGGAAGAGATCCAAAATAATAATCAACTGCGCCTAATTCAGTTTAAATAAATCATTAATAACTTAACAGCACAGTCAATCAATGAACATTTATTAAGCACATATTATGTGCCAGGAAATGTGTGTTAAGCACTGGAGACAGACCTTGCCCTCAAGGAATTTACAATCTAATGGCAGTGACAACATGCAAAGAAATAATACATAATCAAGCCATACACAAGATAAATAGGAAATAATTAATTGGAGGGAAAGCACTGGAACTAAGGAGGGTTAGGGAAGAGTTATTTCAAAATGTTTTACCGAAATTCAGTGTGAAAACTTTCAAGTCATGAGGTGTCACTGATTGCTAAGAAAGGTTTTATTTACAAATTATTTCCTTCAAGCACTTAATAGTAAATTATATTCAATCTACCTAGTTAGACAAAAAAGTTAGAAGGTACTATTTCTCAAAAGCTTTTCTTCTTGAACTTGGGATGCTGACTACTGATAATAAAAATTAGGAATTTTCAAAGAAATTGCACATTATATACACAAGTCAAGGAAATAAGATGACACCAAATCAGGAAACAAACAAGACTGATAAATACTGAAATTAAAAAAAATTATCAAAATCATTAAAGGAAATATGCTAAGTATATATGTCAATGTACTCAACAGACCTTTTTTCTTCAAATATATCCAAGTCAATATAACAGTAAGGTAGTATCATGAAGTAAAAATGAGTGGATAGCAACCAAACCCACTCTAGCTCTTTAAGAACAATGAAAAAAGCAGACACCAAGTATTAAAGAATTCTGTTCTCTTTCAGATCTGCTCTGCTTCACCCTTTTGATGTGTTTCTACTTCATTTCACCTCACTTTTCAAAAAAGTTGATAAAATGTCAGACTGATTCATTTTACATGGGGCTGAAGCAAACAGATCAGAAAGGCAGAATACAACAGAACTGGGTGCACAAATGAATTTCTTCGAAGTTCCTATCTCAACCTCGGTCTTTGCATACACTGGTTTTATTCTCTTTTTTCACATGATAGGAAGTCAAACGCTTTCTCATTTTCATACCTGAAAATCACTGTTCACCAGCTTCAGGACTCTTTAAGAAAGACCACTGAAATGCCAATTTAATATAGTTATGATTCCATTTTAAGATATATAATAAAATTTCCTTATATTCATAAATTAATTCATAAGTTCACATTTCCTTACATTCATAAATGAAAATTTGTGAACATTGACTCTTTCAACTATTAAGAATTCTATGAAAAAAAATTTTCCAAATGACCACAATAGTTTTAAATATTAGAGATTTAAAACTATACAACTGACACATAATTTGTTAAATCCAAGTGGAAATACTGGTTTTGAGCGCCATCTAAACCAATAATTTAAAAAGCAGAGTCTAACCTAATGGAGAACTAAGATATCCACCTAATACCACCCATCCCAAGACAGTGCCTTTCTGGGATCCAAATTCTCAAGAAAGGCTGAAGTATTGTTTTTCTAACGTCTCGGCTTGATCCAAACCATAACAAAAACAGACATCAGAAAATGGAATTTTGTCCTCCCCACCCCAGGTGATACTTCAACCCCTTCTCATTAAGAGCTACTTTCTCCCAATGAATTAAAAGGCACATCTGTACAATATTTATGTATACTACTGGCTTATATGTGAAAGCACTTTTTTGGAATAAAATTAAAGTCCAAGGGAGTATTATTTAATACCTCCAACATATAATTACAGCCACTGGTTTTACTCATTTGGAGGAGATTACAAATCTCCTTCAAAAAATAGTTTTAAAAATTATTTGTCTCAGACATAAGGAATAGATTAAATGGTTCCTGGTCTCTTCCATTCCAATGATTTTATATTGTATATAGTACTTTTTAAGCTTCCATTTCAAGTAACCACATATAGCACCTGATACCATAGGGAAACTACTTTAATTATAAAGGTTTTTAGAAAGTATAAGAATTGTCATTATTTATGGAAGGAATGATTATGAGAAGTTTGAAGGCAAGTGAAAAGAAATTACCCTAGATAGTCTTTGGGGCTGCAGTTACCAGTTATTGTTGTTCAGTCATTTCAGTCGTGTCCAACTCTTTGGGACCCCATTTGGGGTTTTCCTGGTAAAAATACTCAAGTGGTTTGTTGTTTCCTTCTCTAGCTCATTTTACTGATGAAGAAACTGAGGCAAACAGGATTAAATTACTTGCCTGGGGTCACACAAATAGTAAGTGCCGGAGGTTGGATTTGAACTCAGGTCCTCCTGACTCCAGGCTAGGCACTTTATCCACTGCACCACCTAGCTGCCTTCAGTTTCTGGTAAAACACTATTTTGAGGTTTATCATTTTAACGATGTGTTGGCTGCATGACTCAGGGTAGGTCACTTAACCTCTCAAGGCTCTAGGCATTCAGGTTGGTACAACAGATAAAGCTCTATATCTGGAGTCAGGAGATCAGAGTCCAAATCCAGTATCGGACACTTATATATGTGTAACTGGGTAAGTCATTTAATCTGCCTGTCTCAGTCTCCTCATCTGTAAATTGAGGATAATGGTATCTACTTCCCAGGGATATTGCCAAGATAAAACGAGACAATATATTTAAAGAGCTTTGCAAACTTTAAAGGGCTATATAAATTCCACAAAGGGCTAATGTTATCACCTTCGCTTCTGATCTACTCTTCTCTCTGCCCCTCCCAGAAATTAAACCCTTAAGACAAAAAATAAAAAATAAATGACAAAAAATATTTCAGCAAAAATAGCCAACATATCAGCTAAGTCACTTCTTCAAAGGTGAAAAGAAGGTATATTTTCACATCTCTTTTGGGGTCCCAAACTTAATCATTCTAATTGTACATTGTTTTATTGTTTTTTCCATTTATATTGTAGCAGTCATTGTTTATAGTTTTCCTGACTCTGCTTACTTCACTGTTTTAGTTTATGTTTTCTCGTGCTTTTCTAGATACAGTATGTTCATCATCGCTTACAGTGAAATGATAATATTCCATTATATCCATGTACCACAAATGTTTAGCATTCCCCAGTCAATGGTCATCTATTTATATTGTTTTTATTTCTTTGTTACTACAAAAAAATGCTGCCATAAATATGATACATTTGATATATTGCTACATGAGATACATTTTTATCCATAACCTTCTTAGAATTTATGCTTAGCAGTGGGAGCTCCGAATTAAAGGTTATGGACATTTTAGTCACTTTCTTAGGATGATTCTAAATTACATTCTAGAATGTCTGGATCAGATCACAACTCCACCAACTGTGCATTAGTATGTCTTTCCATGACCCTTCCAAAAGTGAATATCCCCATCTTTTGTTATGTTTTCTTTTCACTAAGTGTGAGATGAAATCTTACAGTTTTTTTCACTTACATCTTTATTTACTAATTCAAAGTACTCTGTGTGGTTCTTAATAGCTGGAGAAGTCCATTTTCATCACAGAATTTGACTTCCTATCATGTGAATGAGAATAAACCAAGTGCATGCAGCAAAAGCTAAAATCTTAACGTTAAGAGGCAATCAATTTTAGCACTGAAAAATCTATAAGATAAAATAACATTTTTGAAACAGTAAAATAAAAAAAGTATAAACTAGGGTAATTTTAAAATAAGAACTGTAACAAACTATAATTCTTATTATCATAAAAGAGCTCACACATAGTTGGAGGGCCAGGATTGGCAAGGTGTAGATAAAAGAGCATTAAATTTGGATTTAGAGGACTTAAATTTGGATCGTGGCACTTCTAGTCATTTGTGTGGACACAAGCAAGTCATTTAACCTCTCTTGGCTTCCAGTGTTCTCATTTGTAATATTAATGAGTGGGTTGGTATCATCTCTAAAATCTTTCTGGGTCTAAACCTATAATCGTTTGATTGACTGATTCTATGTGATTTTCCTGTGTTCAAAACAATTGAAGAGAACTCTAGAAATTCATGGTTGCTAGGGTCTTCAAGAAATGACACCTTCAAAAAAAAGAGGGCCTCTAATTGATTCAAAGAATGAATACCTGAGGTAGCTGCCTACCTATACCTCTTCAATATGGTCAATTAATTTCTGGAAAGCAGCACAGCAGCCATCTAATTTTGGGGGTGCCATCTTGAAATAAGACAGAAATAACTATGTAAAACTTTTACTATTTTCATTTCACTGCAGTCATTTTCTAGTTTCAAAATTAAAATTCCTAATTTTTGTTTGGGAAAAAAGCAAAATCAATGTTTAGAGTTTGTATTTAGAAAGATGATAGATAATGTAACAAATTACAAAAGATGAAAGCAAGATCAGGTAACAGTCCTGTAAAAATAGTGATTGTCAGGAATAATAAAGCTCAGAATGAGTTGAGGTCAGGGGAGAAATGTTAAGAACAGCAAAAAAGGCTTTTGTTATGTTCTTTTTTTTTTTTCCCTTCCCTACTCTCAACCCCTACCTCATCAGATAAAGGAAAATCAAAGAAGGGATAGGATCTTTCCTTAAGCCATATTGGAGAATAATAACTGACAACAAAGAAAAGGGAGAATTGTCGATTCTAAGTTGTTTGGGTTTTTTTTTTCCTGTTCTCTCTGACATAACCTTTAAACTAGAAATGACAGAACAAAAATGACTAACAGGGAATCAGTATCTAAGATAAGTAAGGACGTAGTAAGAGGTACACCTAATCTGCCCTTGAATTCAAGTCACCTTGCCCAGATTTATTATATCTTTGAGTCCTGGAAGACCTGGCAGATATAATTGCTGAAGTCATTGTCAATGATATTTGAAAGATCAAGGGAAACTGGAGAGGTACCACGAAATTGGAGAACGACTTTTCCCAATTTCCAAAAAAGAACAGTATCTGAAAACTATAAGCCGGTAGAGAGCTTTATTTTAATTACTGGGTAAATTCTAGAATGGTTCATTAAGGAGATAGCTGGCAAACATCTAGAAAGAGAAGCAATGATTACAAATATCTAGCATGGCGTTGTCAAGAACCTGTCATACTAGA